CTCTTCCCGGCCTTCCCTGCTTGCCCAAGTGGGACTCGTGGGGACAGCTCGTCTGTTCCTTGCCCAAGCCTGCCAAAGTGTCGTGTCGGGTTAGGGTTACATAAGTGTGACGTTGAGAAATTCCCTTGGAGGGGAGATGGGGCAGGGCGCTGGGGGCATCGGAGGCTGTCACAGCCTCCCCTCTCCCCGCCCCCCCCCAGCTTCCCTGGTCTTAGACAGTGCTCATGTGTTGGGTGGACACTTACCTGACCCTTTATAGATTTTATCTCATTGAATGATCTCCATATAACTGATGATGTAGGTGTTATGTCCTCATTTGACAGATGGTGATGATAAGACTCAGAGAGGTGAAGTTACCTGTCCAAGGTCACACAGCCACTGTAAAAGAAGTAGGACTCAAGCCAGTTTGCTCTCAATTATTCTGCTAGGTGCATAGTGAGCGTCTAAGCTCCTCAATGGGAACTCAGTGCTCCTTGCTCCCTCCCAATTCGAGCTCATTACTGGGAGACTTTCACCCATTTTTGTCCCAGATTGAGATGAGGAATCTGGTTCTTACATTTCCGCAGGAAAGACAGACTGGGGGGTTGCAGGGGATCTTCCAGGGTGAGTGCTTGGAAAGACCTAGCAGGAAACAGCCCTCTCTGCTGACCTGTCACCTGCACCCCTACTGCGGAGACCCCTGCATTATGGATTCTTTTCTTCTCCAATCAGAGCTTAAAATTTCTTTTGAAAAATGTAGATTCAGTAAAGCTAGGAAGTGTGTGTTGAGAAAATGTAGAATCTTCCAGCAACGTGACCACCCTCCCCCCCCGGGGTCCTTAATACCACAATGGCCGTGAGGTCATCCGAGCCTGTTTCTTGAGCTCTTTTCCTTTTACGGGTACAGATTCAGTGGGACCAGCCCCATGTCACACCCACGCAGGTCTCCTGGGCTTTTCCTGAGGGGGGTGGGCAACTCTGGTGCTGATCTGGGGTGGGGGAGGTGACAATGCAGCCCAGAGCCTCCCCAAACTGCTCGTGTCTTAAAGATTTAGGGCTCCTTCCAGATCTCATGAGCTGCTCACGTGTCCACCTTGTGTGTGGTCACTGAACACACTTCCGGGCGATCAGACGCCTCCTTCTCTCCATGAGACTCCAGTATCAGAAGCTCTGAGAATAATCCTCTTTCCCAACATCGAGGGACTCTCAGGTGGATTCCAGGCCCCGGAGCCCAGCGGTGCAGACTGCTGAGGTCCTGGAAGGTCATCTGGTGGGGGGGCAGGACGAGAGTGGGAAGAGCCCTTGGTGTCTTTCTTCTTGAAATAAGATCTTGCTTCTGGGTTTCCTGGGTCTCCAGGCGCCCACGTGGGGAGGATCTAGGCTGGATCGTCATCTCCCCACCCAAGGTGGGGGTGGGTAGGCAAACCCAGCACACCTTGGAGGACTAATTTCAGGGCAGATAATTTCATTGAAGCGCTGGAAATAAAAGGGGAAATCCAATTTATTTCTGCCCTACATTACACCGACTTAGATAAATTTGCATAGAAGAAAACATTATGTCATCGCTGCTCGTGGGAACAGCATAGTTTTCGAGTGCGCATCTGAAGATTCAAAAGTATGCACGTCCTCAGACCACCAGCGCTGTAGTTTGGATCTTGGTACCGCATGTGTCTCTCTTTGAAAGTCGCGTCATAAAAAATTGCAGTAGCAGCAGTGATAAGTAAAGAAGACACGGGCCTCCATGCCAGACCTCTCTTTAAAGGCTTTTATCTACATTAGCTAATTAGATCCCTATGAGGAGGTACTGCTATTCACTTTACAGATGGGGCACTGAGGCACAGAGAGGTTTAGTGACTTTCTCAAGGCCACACAGCCTGTATGAGAGAGAGTGACTGAACCCTGGAAGCCTGCGCTAAATCCTGGGCCTTTAACCGTTCAACTCTCCTCACCTCTGATGCTTAACTGCTTTTCTTGAGGGAGGGAGGAGTCTGGCTAAGCACTTAGCACAGAGAAGGGGCTTAATACATGGGAGCTGTCCCTCATCACTTAGAGAGTGCAACACTTGCAGCCACTAACTGAATGAAACATCCTGGCCACGTGAGAGGCAGCCGGGAGGACACTGTGGCCCCACCTACAGGTAAAAAGACTGAGGCTTAGGGCACGCCCGTGACATGCCAGGTCACACAGCTGGTTGGCGAAGCAGCCAAACATCAAGCTCAGAGCACCAGAAGGCAAGTTCGAGGTCCTTCCTCGGGGCGGTGCCTGCCCATAACCTGAACAGACGGTTGATAAGCAGAGCCGCTGGTTGCTCTCTGAGGCGCTCTCACCAAGCCCTGTTCTAGTTACTGTGTGGTTCCCTAAGGGGGCCCCTGGGCTCCCCCCAGATTAGGTCCTTTCTGGGCGCATAGGCTCTGGCGGGGCGCAGGCCTCCAGGGGTCCCAGCCACTCCCTCTCTCCCTGCCTCTCTTGCGCTCCAGTCCCTGCTCCATTGACTTTTCAGTCTTTGGCTGGTTCCCTGCCATGAGTCTTGCTCCTGGGGAGAGGTCCTGGGACGTCTCCTCCTTTTTGTGTCCCTGATGATGGTGTTTCCCCGGAGTCTGTCAAAGAAGAAGGAGGAGGAGGAAGAGGAAGAAGGGGAGTAGGAGGAGGAGCAGGAGGAGGAGCAGGAGGAGGAGGAGCAGGAGGAGGAGCATGGGGAGGAGCAGGGGGAGGAGCAGGGGGAGGAGGAGCAGGAGGAGGAGCAGGGGGAGGAGCAGGGGGAGGAGGAGCAGGGGGAGGAGGAGGAGGAGCAGGGGGAGGAGGAGCAGGAGGAGGAGGAGGAGGAGGAGCAGGAGGAGGAGGAGGAGGAGGAGGAGCCGGGGGAGGAGGAGCAGGAGGAGGAGGAGGAGGAGGAGCAGGGGGAGGAGGAGCAGGAGGAGGAGGAGGAGGAGGAGCAGGGGGAGGAGGAGCAGGAGGAGGAGGAGGAGGAGGAGCAGGGGGAGGAGCAGGGGGAGGAGGAGGGGGAGCAGGAGGAGGAGGAGCAGGAGGAGGAGGAGGAGGAGGAGCAGGGGGAGGAGCAGGGGGAGGAGGAGGAGGAGCAGGAGGAGGAGGAGGAGGAGGCAGTGAACTAGCCTCAGGCTAGTTGCCTTAAGCACCTGTGTCTCGGTTTTCTCATCTGTGAAATGAAAATAAAAGCATCAGCAACCTGACACGGGGTGTGGCAAAGATGAAACAGTGACACAGTGCACAGGAGTCCCCAGAACACAGGGGGTAGCTTTGGTCGTTATAGCGATCACAGCCGTCAGGTTTCCCATGGGTCCAGGGTGGAGGAGAGGCTTCATGGCTGCCCCTGGCTTCAACAGAACCCGGGCAGGACGAGGCATCTTGTTGGACCCAGGGCCCCAGGGGTCTTCTTGCCATGCTCTGTCTTTTGGGGAGCAGCAGAGCCTGGCAGGGCTCGGCCTCAGGGAGTCTGCTCTCCAGATGGCTCCCTGCAGCTTCCTCGAATGAAGAATCATCCAGGTGTGCTTGGGACAGGAGAGAGACGTGGACATGGTGACCAGGGCGGGAGGGATAGTGGGCAAGATCCCCCCAGAAAACAGGGTCTATTCCTCGAGGGCACAGGGAGGGTGCAGAGCTCTGGTTTGAACCATATGATTATTTTTTAATCTTGCTGCAGAGCGCTTGTTTCAATGAAGGCTTGGGCAGACGCCCAGGACGCAGACAGTTGAAAGCACACTGTGCGGGTTGCAGCTGGCCGGGGGGGGGGGGGGGGGTCAATCCAGGTCCTTCTCGCTCCCCGGGGGGCCTCTGGTTTGAGAAGACAATGACCCTCCAAAAGTTGTGGCGGTGCAAGGAGATGACACTGGAAAGCTCTTAGAAGAACATTTGGTCCCGAGGACGTTCTCACTAGCTGCCGTCACCAGCACCAGCCACCATGATCATCAACATCAGCACTGCCCCCACCGCCACGCCCACAATCACCACCATCCTCACCACCACCATCAATACCATCCTGGTCATTATGACCACCACCCTCATCACCACCATCCTCATTTATAAAAGGACACTCTCTGTGGTCTCTAAGAACCTGATGGTCTGAGTCCTGGCTGTGGACCCAGGGCCCCAGGGGGTCCTCACCCTGGGCTGTCTGGGCGGGGGGCTTTCTATGAGCCTTCCCAGTGCAGAGGGTTCTCTTTATGGCAGAGAAATCCTCAGACCTGTTGGTGTGAGATTCCCTATTCTTTCCCCGACCCGAGCACTTCCCCATAGTTAGCAGGAGAAGGAGCTTAAGATCGAGGACCCCGGGAGTCAGGAGAATCCATCCCTCTTTGTAGAGCCCCCTCTTTGATGGATTTATTTCCTCCTCCACACGTGGTTTCGTGGAGAAAGCCAGTCTGGGATTTGGGGTGGTGAGTTTTTGGCCACGGCTCAAACGTCTGATCTAGAACTCTTGAGCCTGGCCGGCTTCATCCCACTGGAACCACAAGCTGAAGCGTGGCCCAGGCCCTCCTGGGCTGGCCGGCCATTTCCCCATCTCCCTGTCCAGGCGTTTGGGTGGCAGGACAGGTTAGAGATCACCGAATCACATCAGGCCCCGTGTGGGTGCCATGGTTGCCTTGGCACCTCTTGTGGTGTTTAGGAAAAGAAGCCAGCCGTGTCCTGGGTTTACAGGTGGGGCTTGGGAACATGAAATGACTTTTCCACGATGCTCAGGGGGCTGGATCTGGCTCCTGAACCAGGTCAACTGGTTATTTCGCCAAGCCAGCCTGCCCCCCTGCGCACCAGCTCCCCAAGCCTCACATTCAGGCTGAGCATCCCAGGGAACCTGAGGTGCCATTCAGAAATCTGCAGCACCTTGGGTAAGGGCAGCAGCGGGCTGAGCTCCGGGGGTGGGGGTACAAGGAACCGCGCGGGGACCGTCCTCCAGAGATCCAGCCTCTCCGCCCAGAGCGCAGCAGCGAGTCCTGGGGGTGGGCTGGGGGAGGGGCTGCAAAGTTAGAGCTTCTTTGCTCTGAGTGACAGTATTAGAAGGAGGTGCGGTTGTCGCCGACTTGGCTGCGTGGGGAGAAGAAGCCCCGTCCCCCGCCCCTCTGGCCTCCCGTCCCTTCTGCAACCATCCAATAACTTAACTCCCCTGCCAGGGAGGGGGCTGGCGGCCGCCCTCCCCTGCTCCGCCGCATCTTGGCGCTGTCCGCGGTGCTGACCGCCAGTCCCCTGATTGCCGTTTCCAGCCGCCGGGATCTCGAAGGCGTCCAGCCTCCCCACCGGGCCTCCGACCTCTCTTTCTCCAGGCACCGCAGACATAAATCACGGTGGGAGACAGGCTTGGCTCCCCTGCGCCGGGAAGTCGCTGATCCCCTCCCGCGGGCTCACGCACGGTTTTGCAGTAGTGGTGACAGCTACCGCCGAAGCAGGCGCTGGGGAAGCAATTGATTCGTCTCCTGCCGGCAGCCCGGAGTTGCCTATGCGGACAGGAGAGGGGGAGACCGAGCCCAGCGAGCAGGGCTCACACCGGGGAAGCTCGATCCATGTGGAGGACAGTCTGACGGAGCCACCGTCTGCCCCCCGCCACCGGGACTGACTTCTCCGCGTCCAGCAGAGGTATTCATTTTTGCCTCGGTCCCGCCTGCTTTAGGGGTAGTGTGTGCATGTGTGTGCATGTGTGTGTGCACACGCTGGTGGCTCGATTTTATTTGGGGAAGAGCAGGAGTGTCAAAAGAACAATTTTCTTGCAGGCACCTCCGCCGACTGAGCTTTCAAACCAAGTCATCGGGACTTAGTGTCCTCCCACCCGGCAGGGAAGGAGGGGTTGGCAAGAGCCGGGCTCGCCAGTCTCCCCTGCAATCCGCCAGCATCACGGTAAGGGATATTTTTCTTGGTTGTGCCACTGGGTTAGGGGCACTGGGATCTGTGGTGTCGTGTGAGTGACCGGCTGGGGTACAGGGCGGTGGAGAGGGAGGGGGCGCTGGGGAGAGACCACGTTGATTTTTGCCCAAAGTCTGCAGTGCTTTATCACCAAAGCGGCACCCGAAAGCCAAATGAGATGTAGGCTCAGTGCCCAGGGAGGGGGTAAATTGTGCTCATGTTTTAGGCAAAGCCATCAAGGTAGTGGCTTCTTCCCAGTGTGTCCCCCTCCCTTGCAGCAGAAGCTGTTGAAAGTCGCCTGCAGTTTCTCAGAGCGAATTAACCCTCCCGGGGCCGGCCAGGCTGCCATGGAGGGTCTCTGGGTGCTCTGATTTAGTGGGCGATCGCGGTAGCCCAGTTGGGAGACAGTCACCTGAGGCTGCAAGATTAACCCTTGCCTGGCACCCTGGCTGAGGCTTGCATAGGACAGGGCTCAGGTTGTACCACCTTTCAGGGACAGCTGAGTAATTTCATTGTGGTGGTTTCTGCAAGCTGTGCTAGTTTCTGAGACAGGAGACAGACATGAAAGGGCCACATTTTGCTTGGGATGAGTGGTCAGGGAGGCCATCAAGGAGTATCCAGCTGTCTGCAGAGCAGACAATGTTTTATTTACACAGGTGGTGTCACCTGTAAGCGATGGCATGGGGGGTGCATGCTGGCATTCACTCAGGAGCCTCATCTCACAGCAGAGAAGAGGGGACTGTGGGCTCTTCAGATTCTAGGAAAGGTCCAGCCCCTAGCTCCAGATCGGTCCCAGGGCAAACTGTGCCTCTGCACTAGTTTCTTTTTCTGAGATCTGGATAGGGTAAAGCCTGCAGCAACCTGTTAGTGAGTGGGAAGGTGAGGTTCCTTGTAACCAAATCCAAAAGCTCACATTTAATTTTAAAATGCTTTTCCTGCAAATCTGTGACCCATCAAAAGAGGATTTCTCTTTGCTTTCGGCTTTAATTACATCTACCTTTCTGGAAATGAATGTCCTTATTTTTAGTGCCTTTGCTATTATCTCAGGGCCCACTCAGCCTTCTGTAGCCCCAAGGATTTCCTCCTGAGGTACTTTCTCTTGGAGGTGGGAGTCCAGGCCCTGAGACTGGGGAGCCTGGATTGGAAGCAGGGGCCCCTCAGTCACTTTCCTCAGCCCCACAGCCAAGTGGAGCCACTGAAGCCCCAGACACCAGCCTGTTCAGGCAGGACAGGGGAGGTGGGGAAGGATTGTTTGGTGGTTAGTGCCAAGGATTTGGTCCTCAAAATCCCTGGCTTCTACTCTTGGCTTTCCTTGCTGGGTGACCTTGATGGGGAAGTTGTCTGGGTTTCCCCCCGGGGATGAGGGATGTGAACAAATTTAAGGAGCCGCAGACCTGGCCGTGGGTGATGTTTAAGGTACTGAACTTTGGCACCCACTGATCAGAATAAACCAAGGCTGGGGTCCTGTCGTGGGGGCCTCAGAGGTCCCCTGCTGTGCTGAATGTTGACCCTTTAACTGCTGGGTTATGGGTGGTTTGGGAGGAACGTGGGTTGTCAAAGAGCCCCAGGGCCTCAGGTCTGTGACACCATCCACTCCTGAATATTGTAATTTTTTAACAACTGGTTCAGCCACACAGAACCCGCCCACCCGCCCACTCCGGAGGTGAGGAGCGCCCAGATGTGAGAACTTTGCCACATCTCTCTGCTACCTGGCTTCCCTCGGGTGGCTGACAGCCAGGAGGCCACCCGCCTTCCTCCCTCGTCACACTGAAGTGGCGCATTGTGGTGCACTGAGGAGAGGGGACCGACACTTCTGGAAAGAGCCCTGGACTTGGGACAGAGGACGCAGATCCGGCTGTTCCCTCCCCTCTCTGAGACTCGGTTCCCCATCATGCAATGAGGCACTTGGTCTAAGTGGCCTAGGGACCCCTTCCAGCTCCGAGGGTCTGTGACTGTGTGGTAGGCGAGCTCCTGTGTGTGTGTGTGTGTGTGTGTACCCACACTTCTAGGAAGGGCTGGCTTTGTGTTTCTCTATCCCTTTTCAGGGGGGCCCAGAGAGGGACAACCACTTTCCTGAGACCACACAGTAAGCCATGGCCTAGCAACACACAAATCCCCAGCACAAGGGCCAACGCACTGTCCCCTCACTCCTGTCTCTGGCAACTGCTGCTCTCCCCACCCCTGGCCTGGGATGTGGACCCTCAGCATTAGCTGTCCCATCTGTGCTGCAACCCCCACAGGGTGGCCAGGAGAGGGCATCCCCCCAAAGTGGCTCAGGGTTTCCTCCTGCTCTCCACACACCTGGGCTGTGCAGTCTGAAGATGGGCACTGCGGTCAGGATGGCCGCTCCGTGGGGTGACCTACACGAGGTGGCCTTCCTGTTGGTTTAACCCTTTCCCTCTCCGTGCGTGGGTCATGGGTGTTCGTGGCTTTCTATTAAAAACCACGCGACATATGGGCCTGTCTCTGGCTCCTTATCCCCGTTGAGTGGGGAGCTGGTCACAAACGCAGACGAGTTGGGAATTGATGTGCAGGCGACAGGAGGAAGCAGCATGGTTTATTTCTGTTAAGAGCTGTGGCTGTAACCTGGGATAAAAATAAATCCGGGGCCCAGGCGTGGTGGGTTGGAGCCGATGAGTTTAAGTGATCTAGCTGCCACCCAGGATGGGGAGCCTTGAGGTACTGGGGGGGGGACACTGCAGAGAGAACCCCTCTCTTTCTGTCCCCCACCCCTGGATGCCTCCATACCCAGCTGATTGAACCGCTAGGGGCTGCAGTGTGGGGTTGCTGGGGGCAACCAGACTTGAGTTCCATTTCTGACTCCAATGCATCCTTGCTGTGTGACTGCAGGCAAAGCCCTTAATCTCTCTGAGCCTCAGTTTCTTCAGTTAGGTATCTTAAGGTAGCACAGTGTCATGGTTGAGAACTCAGTTCTCTGGAAACAGACATCTGAGCTTAGAGCCTGGTTCCACCCCTTTCTAGTTGGGTCACGTCCCCTCTCGGGACCTCAGGCTCCCTGTCTGTGAAATAGGGATGATAACAGTTGTGAGAATTGGAAGAGTCAACAGTTCCTAAGTGCTTGGTCCCAAGCTTGGTAAGGAGCAAGTGTCTAGTGAATGCCAGCAGTGAGGATGACGTTGGTGACGGTCTCCTGCAGTTGCTGGGCCCTGGCCCTCAGTTTCTCCATCTGTGAAGTGGGCGTCTTGGCCTCCCTTCCCTCGGGCCCTGGGGCTCTAACCAGCCCCCAGCAGCCTGAGCGTGCGGGCTCTGGAGGGGGGTCTGGAAGGAGCAGCCTGCTTCCTGTACCGTCCTTAACTCCCCCACGTCCTGGGAGGCTTTTGCTGAATCATCTCAACCTACAGCTCTGAGCGGGGATTTTCTCTAGGAAACCCGAGCTTTCCCTCCCTCCCCGGGAAGCGCTTTCCTGCCATGATAGCCCTTCTTGGGGACCCCGAGATGCTGGGGGGCTGGTCCCTAAGGGCCAGGGCTGTGCTATCTGCTGCATGGGGTCAGGGTCAGCACATAGCAGGTGCTCAGCCAAGACTTGCTGGAGGAATGATGATGGCTCTGATGATTGATGCCTGGACTTCCCGGTCAAGACCTCAGCCTTGGACCCAGGGTCGAGGGGAGGCCTGCATGCAGTAGGTGCTCAGCTAGTGTTGGTTGAATATGATGAGTCATGGGCAAGGGGTTGGGGGAGGACTCGGCTTCCATGCTGATCTGCTGCAGGCTCCAGGCAGGCCTCCCTGTCCTCCTGACCCGCACTCACGGCTGCTTCATCACACATCACACATTTATTGAGTACCTACTGTATGCCTGGCACCATAGTGGGCATTGGGAATAAAATAGTCACAAAGACACAATCCATCTGGGGTCTTAGATAAAGTAAGTGGCCACCTGTAAAATGTGATCTTTTGGAGGGAGGGGTACAGAGGGGGCTTCCTGGGTCCCCAGAAATACTGAGCACATTCACCAGGATTCTATTGGTATCCTTCTTGGCTTTAAGGCTCTGCTCTTGGCTGAGGGGCTGATACTTTGGGGTGCGTTGACACATCCAGTCCTTGTCACTTATGCTTTAGTGAGACGTCATGAGGTCCTTCCTGGGGACGAGGCAGGCTGGTTGTTTGAGGCAGGAGTGGAGCCTCCCAGGTCTGTCCTGGGAGAGGAGCCGGGAGTGGGGCTGGTGTTGTGGGGGGCTGGAAGCCCTGCCACCTGGGGGTCTGATCGGCAGGAATCAGACGGTTGGTCTCACTCTGCTCCTCAACATCAGCTGGGGACTTGTTAGGAGACGAACTTTTGGCTCTGAAACTCTGGTTGCAGGGGCCTGGGGCCCAGTGCTATCACAAGCCCCCTGTGCTCTAAGGCAAGGCAGTTTAAAAATGTAAAACACGTGGTGACAGGTGTCACCTAGAGCAGCTCTCCACGGGTTGTGATCCTGGGACTTTCTGCCAAGTTCCCCGCATGGGTCCCCAGGGGCTGAGCAGAACAAGAACAAGGTCTCTTGCTTGTCCTGGCAAACCGCAGAGACCTCCAGGGCAGGACCCACGACTCCCCAGGCTCTCAGAGCCCACGGTGACGGTGACGTGGCTGCAGGGATGGGCGCTCCGGCCTGGTAGGAAGGCAGCCGGTTCTTCTCAATCCGACCCCGCCCCCCATTCGGGTCAGGGAAGTGGTGCGGCAGCACTGAGGCTCCAGGCTGCTGTCTGCAATGTCACCGTGGTTTCCTCGAAGCAATTGTCTTGCTGACATCTGTCTGCATGCTTCCGCTGTGGCGCGGGAACTCGGCGCTCTGGCAGCCTCAGGATCCGTGACACGGTGACACGCCCAGCCCCCTGCGACTCATCACACAGAGGACCCTCCTCTGCAGCCTCCCGGGAAGGAGCTGGGAAGGATCTCTTTGTGGGGAGGACAACAGTGGGTCCTCCCCTCCCAGCCCCCGCGCTGAGTGGGCTCATTCACTGCCTCAGTCTCCGTCCCCTCCCTCCTTCCTTTGT